AAAAAAAAAAAATAAGGATTGGCTACTACTACTACTACTTTACCGTATATTTTTTGTGGCAGGTGATCTACTTTCGCTGGAGGTGAAGGTCCTTTCCTTTCTTGTCGGTGTAGAAGAGACCATTCGTATGCGCGCTTTTATACTCAACAGCATCGCAAGTACCACGATATGATCGATAAACTTCAACGTTGATCTCTCAATGCATTAGCAAGGTACAAAATATTAACAGATTTTTACTATACGATTTTGATAAAAAAAAAAAACATAATTTTTATTTTTTCCCTAACGATATAACATCGATAAATAAATGGGATTTAGATAATAATAAATTTGTTGAAATGTTAAATCAATAATGGAAAAATAATAATGAAAATGTTTCATTGCTGCAGGACAAAATGGCTGGCGTTGCTTGACAGCGGCTAAGCATCGACCAGAATTTGTTTCTGAGGGGAAAGAACAATGGAGTTATCGTCATCATTCGTTGTGTACCATCGAAAGCAAATAGAAAAAAAAAAAAAGAATATCATGCGCGCTTATAAGTCTCTCCAACACTACAAGCTGAAAATCTACATCGGTATAGTAAAATACTACCAACACGAAGAAAATCAAAGGACCCTTTTGTCAGTGCCAAAATGAACATAATCTGATTATATAAAACGGAACCAAATTAGGTTGAATGTATTTCGATCTGCATCTGATCGAGATATCTTTTGATATACAATAAGTGTCACTTAAAATCAGTCAATGATAGTCTAGAAATAAATTAATACATTAGTAAACTTTTATTATATATTTAATAAGTTTATTATATAAATAATCCTTTCAAGTAAAACTCATTAAATATGTGATAAAGTTATACTAATGTATTTATTTCTAGACTGTCTTCATTCTAAATACAGTATACTAATATTTTTCGAGTAAAAATCTAGTAAGTTTAACACGGTTTACGATTTTAAGTGATACTCATTCTACGCATTTTGATACTTTTTCTTTTCTCTTTTATATATATATATATTTTTTTTCAGACAATGCAATCGTATGAAAGAATACAATCAAATGAAATTCAATGGTTCATATTCGACGAATATTGAAAAACCGAATTTTCAGAAAAGTTTAATATAAACTATTGATATTATACTCGACAGCATTTCATTTCGGTATCGTATATATTTGGCTTCGTACAGTCGGTTTCTATCGATAAAAAACTTTGCAGGTAACAAAAACGAAAGAAAGAAGTAAAATCGATCCTTGCCATTTTTTATCCTCGCCTTTATATAAACAATTTCCGCATTATTTACCGAAAACGTAATCTCTCTGTAAGCGATTTTTATAAAATACGAATCGAAACGAATTCTAAATCCCAACGAAAATCTTCGTATCCATTTACGTAATATTATTACATACAGTACGAAGACAAAAATGTATATAAATATATATTAATTTTTTTTTTTTCCAATCGAATGCGACGAAACGATACACGTAATAAGTATACGTAAATACGTACGTGTATTAAACGAAGGAAAAGAAAATAAGAAAAAGAAAGAAAGAAAGAAAAAAAGAAAAAGAGAGGGAGAGAGAGAGAGAGAGAGAACAAATAATGAATTAAAAAAAGAAAGTGTGTGCGTGTATGTCAGCTTGAATTATAATATACGTATACATATATATATATATATATATTATTTGAATATTTTGTAGGATTTACAAAACGTGTCTCTAGTCCACTTTTCATTCGAGCGTAGCGCCACGTTCTTTTTACCATATCAGTAAACAGTGGTTTAAATTGTTCAGTTTTATCGTATAGTTTTACAAGTATATATGTATGCCTCTATGCACACCTCTATATTGCATTCACTTAACTTTATACGAGTCTTTTCTTTTTATTTTTATTTTCTTCATCATCTTTTATTCCTTTTTTCTCTTTTTTTTTGTTTTGTTTAGTGCTACGTGGTCGACATGGAACTGTTTGTTCGTTTTATCCATTTTATTCATGTACCCGTATACGAAATAAAGTTGAGATATTTGTTTGCGCGAATTTATCGTTATTTTTTCTTTTTTTTTTTTTTTTTTTTTTTAATTATAAGATAAGAGTGTATATTCTGTTCTTGACAGGGTTCAGCAATTTGAAATCAATCGTCAGATTGAATATACGAGAGAAGACGAGAAATAAAATTGCAAAGATACGTAGGGTGTCGTCAGATGATAATAATAATGCACAATTGTAGTATAGGGAAAACTTTTCAAAACCCGATATTCACGTGGACCCAATTTTTTCTTTATTTTTCTTTTAGTATTTTTAACAATAAGTATTATGCCATTTACGATTTACGAGACGATCTGTAATTATTAAATATATCATATATCTTTATATAAATGTTTCCAAGTGATATACGCAGATAACCCTCCTATAGGACACTTCGTGTATATGTAATGTACACAATAAAAAAAGGCAAAGGATATATGTATATGTACCTTCCAGAAGAAACTTTTGAAGATTGCTCAGAGGAGGATCTGTTAGTACTGACAACAGCAGCGCTCATTAACAACGACGGCAATGCACACTCCATAAAATGAACCCTCTCAACTAGAGCTGCATGACGTCTCTCCAAAGATGCGTTCCTTTTCTCATAACCTCTCATCATACGTTTCCAATAACTCGCATTGTTCTTTCTATTTTCATCAGATTTCGTCTCTGCCTCCACCAAAATATTCAAATCGTTTTCCATTTAATACGAGAAAATACACCAGACGATAATGTAATTTTTTTTTTCCAATTCGAGAGTCACGCCCAAAAACTTCCTTGAATTATTATTATTATTTTTTTTTATGTTTTTATTAATAAAAATAAATCACCTTTGTGTAATTTGACTGCCCAATGAAAAAAAAAAAAACAAAAAGAGAGAGAATAAAACAAAAGAAACAACTTCATATCGTTCATAGTAAATAATTGCATGGAGAAAAAGACGGTTATGAAACGATATTTCGAAAAATGGATCATCGACGTCGTTGACGTCGTCGGTTTTAAAAGCTATTAACAAAATTAACTTAACGTGGACAATCTTATTTCGTTGAGAAAAATTTGGTTTCCCCTCTTGTTAGAAATATAAATTTCGCCGAACGTAATGTAAAAGAGAAAAAGGAAAAAAAAAAAAGAAAAAGAAATAAAGAAAGAAAAGTTAAACGATGAATCAAGAAGAAACTATTTTGAAGCTTATGATTCCTCTCAACAACAACATTGACAACGAATTCGTCAAACATGCTTTACTAAAATTAAATAATAAAAATAATAACAAGTACCATGACAATGATAATTATAATGATAATTATAATGATCGTCCTCGAAAACGTGAAGTTGATATCAACCCCAAACACGGTATGAAAAAATTGTCTAACCAAGATATTGATTGTCCAAATATTCAGCTTCGATCATCGAATCATTCGATCGGTTATTTCCTTTTAATAGCCATCGATAACCATAAGACACCATCGACTAATCAAACTCATCCTCGTGTGTGTCCAGCATATCCTTTTTGCGTCGAACGTAACACTGTTGCTAAAACGGTAACCACGGATCAAGAAAATTCTATTTTAAATAATGAAGTAAATTTAATTAAAATTATAATTGTAATATTATTTTTCATATAATGTGTAACACACGTATATAAGACAAAAAAATTCTTGCCATAGTTACCAGCAACGTTGCGTGATCTTTTAATACCGATTAAACAAACGGCCCTGAGAATGAAACAACTTAGCCAATTAAAGAATGAGGTGGTACCCCATAACAAAAGCGTCAGCTATCAATTAACGCAAAATAACGATGTAAGAAATAAAGATAAATAGATTAAAAAAAAAGATCTTTAGATCTCTGACATCCAGGCTTTCTAAGGTGCAAACATATCGATTAAATCAAATTAAATTGCATGATTAAAAAAATCCTACGAATTTGATCGAAACCATCATCCCCTCGCCGTTCCTCATCCCTAATTTTATTTACAGAACATTCATTGATCGGAAAGCCCTGGAAAGCCCGGACTTCATCGAGGTCTAGTTATTGTGAACTTTCAAAAACACATTTGGATATTCGAGAGAAACAATCCGAGTAAGAGGATTCAAAATGATATTTTTTGGCAGTTTTATCATGACCCTGAAGATGTGCCACCGACTTCTCAATTGTGTGCTATGAAATTCGACGAATTCGAGTTGAATTCGAATGATTTTGTAATACCAGGAGATGATAATGTGTTTGAGAATAATGATAAATTAGATAATCAAGTTTTTCTTCGAATATTAACAAAACCAGAAACTGAAACTCGACAAATTGTTGTTGATCCTCTTCTTAGTGTTATTCAACAGATAGTAAGAACATGTCATTTCATTTTAAAGAAAACAATTCAAATTTTCTATCCTATTCTTATAAATTTATAGGTATCCAATATGTCAGAAGTTCGACAAGAGAAATTGGAAGTACAATTATGCAAAAACACGAAAAAAGGTTAAAGTGTTGAATAAGTGTTACCTTTCTTTACATAAAATCTTTTATATTCATCCTTTTTTCTTCTTATTTGAGTATAGTATGCCCGTTATGTCCTGGTTGTTTGAAGCCTCGACCAATAACTACCATCATTGACGAATCTAAAAAAGTAGAAGACAGAGGCGTACAATTTCAAAGAAGTTTTAGACCAGAACCCTTCACCATCGACGATGATTCACTGAGCATTCAATCTTATGAATTTGTAAAAACAATGGACGTTGGATGTGAATGTAAAGTAGAAACAACGAATGACGAAATATGTTTTTCTCCAATTAATAGTAATTATTTAACCATATTCGTCCATTTCGAAAGAATTTCTTTCTTGATTTATCATTTCTCTTTTATTTATTAACAAAGATCAATATTCGGATAGTCACGAAGAATCAAATTGCGATGATAACGACGAATCTCTCGATAAATTAGTATCAAATATTCTGACAATGCTAACAAACGATCATGCAACAAGTGAAATACAACATTTAGATCCAATTTACTCCACCGAGTTTAAATCTCGAGAATTAAGGAATTCTACGAGTGAAGTATTGTCAAATACAGATAAGTCCATTGATTGTACTTGCGAGTTGAATTATGATTCTGAACTCAGGTCTGCTAACAAAATTGAAGTAACAAACGAATTGTTAGACGTTGCAACGTCCACCTATTCGATTTCTATATTCGGACAAATGACTTCTATGCTACAAATGAAATCGGTCAAAGGTCAGAAACAATCTTCTTCAACTCAATGCGATATCGGGCCTGAGTCTATTCAGAAAATACCTCCAAATACAATCGAAAGTCGAATAAAGCCTATATTTGATTCGCGAAAAGTACCGATGATAGAAGAACAGGATCGTGATTACCCGGAAATCATTGAAAAGGTTCTAAAATAATATATATTATTACGAATTAATATGGCGAGATAAATGAAAGAGTATTTTTTGTATGCTTCGATGTGTTGTTTAAGCTAATTTTTGTATTTTGTTTAAATTTGTTTTCAAACAAATTTTCGCAGCTTTGCCCGTGCGGATGCGGATACTTTTTAGAGGGCGATTCTACTTGTTCTTGCGGATGTGCACGATATTCGAATTCGCCATGCGTAGTTACGAATCATTTCAATCAAATAAAACATATGACGGAGTTTACGATTAATTCTTCAAATGATTCGAAAACGTACGTTCTATGTTAATTTACTTGTTCTGTATATTTTCTTTTGCTTCGTATAAGAATTTGCATTCTTTTTTAAACAGATCAGATGAAAAGACTATTAAATCAAAGAAGAAGAGTACTCGCGAAGAAATCAATAGTCAATTTTGTAATTGCAAGGAATCTTCCTCAAACATAGAAGATATTCCAATAGATCCACTAGTGAAACGAATGAACGACAACATCATCGAGATTCAAAATTCTATACTTGATCCGGAAAAGAAAATTGAAATAAACTGGGAACATTTAAACGATAACAAGCAACTCAATTTGGAAGAAGAAGCACGGAAATTGCAAGAAAAAATTGAACGTTATAGGAAGGAGAATGAATATTTTCGAAAATTAATACAACAAGCTTGCAATGGTTGCCAGAAAAACGCAGAAATATTGTCCCGTTGTCCGCCAATCAGAGCAACATATTCTGGTTAAAAAAATATGCCATTATTTTTGAAAATATTCCAAATTCTTATTTTATCTTTCAATTTAGAATAATAATTTTTTTTCTATCGATTTATCGTATATATTTTTAGGACTCGCAACTGCAATCGAAATCTTGCAAGCTAAGTGCCGAAGTAAAGACAGCATGATAGCCATTTTAGCAGAAGGATTACGAGGTGTTGTCAATTATGCTCAAATAGCCAGAAATTTGGCTGCTCCCTGTCTCGAATATTCCTATTGGGATTTCGATCGGTCTGCACTTTATACATATTTACGTAATACCATGAGCAAACTTTCTTTGGTACATACATCATAATACAACACATACAAATTTGTATTAATTTTTAAACAAGTTCAAATCGTGAACAACGAACTTTGTGAAATATATATTAATATAAATTATTTCATGCTCATACTTATAACATTCAATTATTTCATACAGGAAGAAATTAAAAATTCGACCTTGGCACCAAATCATACAACGAAAGACAGGGACAAAACTCTTCTTGATTCGTATCACGACAATATTATACCACCCCCAAAGGAGTTCAAGGTAGTACAAGAATTTGCCAGATGTCTTTTGCTTTCCTGGATGATACCGGAAGATCTTAAGAATGTCGATGGTTATCGGATTTACGTTAATGGGTAATAATACTGTTCTCTTCGTTGTGACAAAGAGATCAAGACAATTGAGATTTCTTCATTTTCACAGAAATCTAGCTATTAACGTGAGATCTTCAAAGAGAACGGAAACCATCGTAGGATTTGTGGATTCGTCAAAAGCCACGGAACTAAAATTGCATAGTTTTAATAAGAATGGTATATTATCTGATCCGGTAACGATAACTTATTCCTCTAAGAACGAGAATAACGATTGCAATAATTGATTTTCAAGATTTGTCCTGATCTTGTTTCTCAGTAAGAACTCATTTTTCGTTAAAAAAAAAATACTTTTAATATATATATATATACAAAAGCAAGGAATGAAAAATGATCGTTTTCTTTTTTTAACAATTTTATTTTTAAAATGCAAATTATAGATTAAAATTAATGTCTGGTAACACGAGGAATGTAGAATAATTTTCGACGATCTACGAGATCCTCCAAAGTGTTAAGATCAGGCAAAACAGCTGGTATTTCAAAGTGGATACCCGACCAAGATGGTTGCGTCGTATACCGAAAGGATTCGAAACCCTTGTTGATGTGGCTATCCGTGTAATAAGCTTCCGTAGAGGTTGGAGTCCTTGGATAATAAGGATCGTATTCCAATTCATTGGGTACTAAGGGCTTCAAAGACATAGTAAGAGCATGAACAGGAATTTCTGTGGTAGCTATCGTCGTTCTTGATGTAGTCGTGATCGTTGACTTAGCATTGGCCTGGATCGATCTGAGAGTCTCAAAATAAGGGTAATCTCTATTATTGTAAGTGTTTGAGTAGGGTCTAGGAATATCGTTAGTTGGAAGTTTCGTGCTCGAAGAAAAGACAGTAGTAGTTTGGAAAGAATTCTTTCGAGGTGGTTGAGTTTTCGTGGAAATCACTGGCACGTTGACGAACGTTCGACCAAGTAAGCCCTTCGTTTCTAAATCTGACCGCGTGAAACTCGAGAATCGATTAGACAAAGAAGAGTCTTCCTTAGAATCACGAGAGAATGAACGAGGTGTCGAGGAAAACTGAAAGACCTGCTTTTTCGGATTGGAATCTGTTGCCGTTTTTTGTTCTTCATTACGATTGCATCGAGATTTGTCTAGAATAGGTTCGGTCTCCTGAAGGTTCATTGACTTCCTATGAAGATCATGATCCTGTCGATTTCTCAAGAAAACCCTGGCACTGAAAACAAAGCCAGGTTGCGTCTTATCAGTTAACGATTGGTCAGGAGGTTGAATTACTTGGAAGGATCTAGAAAAGGAACGGTGATCGTTCGAGTTATCCAACGACGGTGGAACATTGAAGAGCGAAGGTACGTTTAAGCCTAGATTTTCTTCTTCACTTGTACTCCCACGAAGAGACTTTTTACCGTCGTAAGTTGTAGCACAACAATCGACGAGTCTCGCGTGATCACAAATCAAGGCATCTTGTCGGAAGGCCGTTTCTTCCGGGCAACGATAGCTGAACTTGTTGCCATGGTCGTCACACGTGTGATAAACCTTACAATCTGCTTCAATGTCTGCGTAGAATCCCATGACTCTACCAAAACAGGAAAAATTTGTTCTCAACGGTGGGGGCGTTGTATTCTGCAAAAAGCCCGATTAACAAAATTCCTTGTTATTTTTTTATATTTAATATCATTCTTTTTTTGTTTGCATTCTAACTAAGTGCGTTCGATTTTGAACTCGTCGATAATAATCGAATAAATCATAAACAATTTAGGAAAAGTTCTCTTCAGATAAATGAAACTCGTACATGAGAATTCTGTGAATACATTCATGGTATTCTCTGCGAATGACCTTGCCTTTCTACCTCGATCATATACTATCTTCTTTTTTTCTAGCATTCCAAATACCACAGCGGGTTCTCTGCTATACCATATTTATCACGTAATCGCGTTGAGATCAACGTAGCTTATTGTCAGTGCAACGTCGATACTATTATTGCACGGTAGTATTACTGTCTAATTACACCATAGCTGTTAAAATTACCTACTGTAATTTCCAAAGAAGGATCAAGTTGATAAACTGACATGATAATTACACTCGACTATGTTTCTCTTTCTAAATATTTGACAAATATTAACTTAAACATCTTATGTTTATGATATATTACAATAAGACTCGATATCTAATTTACTCTCGGTCAATTTAATGAACGATTAATTCTAAACCAACTAATAATTTTATAATCAGTCAAAGGTAATCTTGAAATACTTACAAATACTTCTTCGGGACGTGCAAGAACGATGAATATGGTGCAATGTAAAACGATTCCGAGAATCCACGATTCTACTCGGCCCTCCATTCCGAAAAACACAATCGAGACAAGATTTTCGAAAAGTGTTTTTTAATAATATGAATAAAATCGCCGATTTAACGTATAAACTATCTACTATACGACGATACAATGAGTTCAAGTGAAAGTAACGAAAATGAACTTAGGATGTTCACTCAAATTTCCTTCGTGTACACCTTCTATCTTATTATCTCTTTCTTTCTTTACTCTATATTTCTACGAGTTCACGTATAACATCCTATGGTTGTTTTCCATTATTCTCATTACACCATGTCGATCCTGATCCGTCTTCGAAGGAAGAGACAAGACTGGAACGCGAACGTTTTGCGTGAAAGGAGCAACCGGTAAATGCCATTGCACATTACAGTCTCTCTCTTTTTACCTCTCTCTCTCTTTCTTTCTATCTCTTTCTTTCTACCTCTCTCTTTCTCTCTCCATCTCTCTCCTTCACTCATTCTTTCTTTCTTTCTTTATCCATCTCGAAGAAGAACATTTCACGTCGGCTCATTGTCTTTTCAAGCAAGCGATAAATTCGTAAGTGGCTTGGCGAGAAAAGGTAGATACGATCAGGTAATTGAATCGATCTGACTCGATAAAAAGATGAAGGAAGTCTTGTCTTCAAACATTCTTACACAAGACAAAAATAATCGAATAATCTTGTGGTATTATTAGCTGTTACTTAGAACGTACATGCCGGAAGATTAATGATCGTTGACATGTCATCGATCGTTAAATCAATAACGTGATCATCCTTGTATCTACATTATTATTTTTTTTTCTTATTTTCTATTTTAATATGCTTAATCAAAGATTAAATGATATATTGAAAAAGATAGATAAATGAAAGTGCCAGAAGAATATTACTTATTTTACAGAAAAAGAGAGAAAATATGACGAAATTTACATAATTTATCATCCTTGGCATTATAATTTATTCACGAAGTGACACGAGAAAAGGGCAGCTCACATCTTACACGTAATCAAATCAAAAACTACACTAACAAGTTTATTTATTCGATTTCTAAATTATCTAATAGATTAAGTAATGTAAAATGCGAATAATGCTTTAAAATTAAGTTAGATATTTAAAAAGTGTTTACTTATGAAGTATTAATTCTAGATAAAAGTTAAGTATAAGTAAATTTAGGATTTACCAGCATTGTCTAAAACTGCACTAATATTGATAGTCCGTTGCGAGATAATGCAGAAGTATATAGAAGCTCACAAGTTCACTTTTCGCGTACCTAGAGTCATCTTAGTTAGTACCCTGACCACCGGTGGGTGAGAGTAGGTACTCATGCGATGAAGATACAATACTAACAAAGAATGCAGTATTCTTTGATAGTATACGATAGTTATATATATGATATATACTTTAATAGTATATATAGTATAGTTATATTGAAATATAAAATTTTATATAATTATATTTAATTTTGAATGTATAAATATGTGTGTGCCTTCAGAAATGCATTTATATGTATATATATATTTTTAAATGAAGCAATTTAAAACACTCAAATAAAAAAGAATCCAAAAGGTTTGATGATAAATCCAACGATGATCACCTGTAACAAGAAGACAACGATATTAATTATATAATCAAGTGATACAATAGCTTAAGATATTATTCGTCCGATTCACAGATGCACTTTTCAATTGAATCATTTATTTACTTTTTATCAAATCTCTATTTACCGCGCGTTGCAATAAAATTAAATTTAAACGCGTGATTTTACATTTACATAAAATAAATAAAAATAAAGAAATAGGAAAAGTAAAAATACTAAGTTACTAAATAAAATAATATCTATTAATTATTATGAATTACTTTTAAACTGTGTATTATATGGAACAGAAAAATTGAAAATTTAATAAAATAAATTTAATCAAAATAACGATCACAGTGAAAAATTTTAAAGACGAAACGAGAAAAGAGAACTTACTGTAATATTTACCGAACGTTATCTAAGCTTAAAAATTAAATAATACAAAAATTTTAATATTTCTGACTGTAACTAAACATATATGCATCTTTTGGACGATATAGACACAAATTTGGTGTCTCAAGGAGATGGAATGGTTCATCATCTCCAATTACAACTACAAACTAATGACGAGCAAGCAAGTAATTTAATAAAATATAAAATATGACTAGAGAGCTATTCTCGAAAAGTTCGAATTTATTGTTGAACCTTTGAAAATAACTCAATAGCCAATAGTAGTTGCCCTCATCAGCAACATTTAAGCGGGGGCCTCTTCTTTCTTCATGCCCTAAACGCATGAGCACACGTATAGATGAGAACGTAGAAAGTATAGGGGGGAGAAACGGGAGATTAGTATATTAGAAGCTGAAAATCCTGATCTAAAAAATATGATTAAAAACACATATATATACATAACACATAAATACATTTTTATAAAAATTCATCTAAGCGACTAAGGACTCTACAATTTATTTAATAAATAATAACTTTGAATATCTTTGAATATCTTTTAATATATTTCAAAACCTCGGACGACTCCTTTC